GAGTGACAGAAGGGCTCGGTCCTACAGAGGAGGGACAGAAGGGCTCGGTCCTACAGAGGAGTGACAGGAGGGCTCAGTCCTACAGAGGAGTGACAGGAGGGCTCAGTCCTACAGACGAGTGACAGAAGGGCTCGGTCCTACAGAGGAGGGATAGAAGGGCTCGGCCCTACAGAGGAGGCACAGAAGGGCTGGGTCATACAGAGGAGGCACAGAAGGGCTGGGTCATACAGAGGAGGCACAGAAGGGCTGGGTCATACAGAGGAGGAACAGGAGGGCTCAGTCCTACAGATGAAGGACAAGAGGACTCGGTCCTACAGAGGAGGGACAGAGGGGCTCGGTCCTACAGAGGAGGGACAGAAGGGCTCAGTCCTACAGAGGAGGGACAGGACTGACAATCATTTAACTTTAATTGACAGTTAAGACTCTCTAACACCCTACCAGCACAACCATTCTTTTCCCAGTTTTTGGGGACAGGGATCTTGTTTCTTTCTACTAATTCAAGAGCCAATTTACAGCATTTCTTTGGACTCGGACCATAACTGGTTAGCAAGTTGTTTGATGTGGTCTGCAGGCTCCTTCTCCATCTCCTCTGTGAAGACTCTATGCTGTCCCACTCTACCCTACAGTTTTCACTTCTTTTCACCATTCTTCTTTATAAATCTGCGCAGTGTTGACCTGTCAATCTTTCTCTCTTATGGATTTTCCTGCCTTGACCTAAGCAGCTGCTCCCTCCTTTGACCCTTATTTTGGAAAAAACTACCTAGCTTAGCAATTCAAGCTAATCTTTAGCTAAACAGTTTACATAAATCATCAACTCTGCCTCTGTCAGTGTGCCCCAGGGCAGCTGTGGCTACAGTGTAGCTTACCACCATCAGTGTGTGAATGACTGTAGTGTAAAGCTCTTTGGGGGCATGGGGCTTGGTAACTCTATCAGTTCAGTCCATTTACCGTCCGAAACATTTGACCCAAATCATACAGTCTGTGTAGGGATCACAGAAACAGATTGCCATTAAACATCCAACTGAACTGTGTTGAGAGAGTTATTATGATGTGAAAGAACTGGAGATGTTTGTTGGAACCTAAATTTAGAACCAGACTGAAGGAACGGTGTGCTTCAGTCGAAGGAATAAGATTATGGAATAATCTGGAGAGAGATGTTAAAGATGCCAGATCAATGTTTATGTTTAAGAAAACAATTAAAATAGGTTTGTTAAAGAAATATGAAATGGAATAATGTGAATCTATATGAATTGTTCTCCAAGATTGTGATGTTTTTTTTTTTTTAGTTTTTGTAAATTACTTTTCTTTTAATTTATTCTTGGGGGAAAAGGGGCAGATATTATAAAATATATTTCTTCTTTCTGCTGCCTTTCATTTGTATTTTTTCTTCTGTTGTGTATACAGTTTGTTTTTGCATTTTTAAAACTTGAAATGAAACAATTAAATCAAAAATTGCCTTAAAAAYGTCTCATTATTCTGGCATTTAGCAAATAGAAAAAAAAGTTTTGTTATCCTAATTGACCTAAAACAGGAAAAGTTTATTCTGATTTYRTGTTGGTGTGAAAAAAAACATWGTAAACTTYTGGTTTTAACTATATATTGTGTTTAATCTGTGACTCACAGTCTGAGGTGGAGGACATTTATCAAACAGATCATTTTCTGTTGATTGGGATAATATCTGTACAGTGGGTCGTGTGGATGTTGGTTGATGAAAACTTGAACTGATCTATTCTGGTTTTGTTTAGTTTTTTTGATACAGTATCTTTAGTGTAACAGAATGAGAGAAACAATTGCAGAAGTTTATAAAAACTTTATGTTTGTCTTTACAGAAGGCACCAAGGTCCAATCAGCCAGTAAAAATGGGAAGAAGACTGACTCCGGGTCCAGCAGCAGCAGTTTCTTCACCTGGTTCATTGTGCTGGCCCTGCTGGGGGTCTGGACTTCTGTAGCCATGGTCTACTTTGACTTGGTGGACTATCAGGGAGTTCTTGGTGGGTATTTGTTGAAACGTGTACACAGCTATGGGTCATTTACAGAGTACCTGACTGGTTTCTGCAGAGAACGTTGGGGCTCTTTCACCTTATAACACTTAGACCAAAGTATAAACAGTTAGTCCAGCATGCTGCTATTTACTGAAGATGGAATAAAATTAAATGGAAGTCTCTTTTAGATGTATACATTTGTTAAGAGTTGAACAAATAACCAGTGTTTAGTATCTGAGTAACTCGTCCATAGCATATCTATGCATACAACTGTAAGACTGAGTTTTTGACWTGTGCAGAGCTTATGTGCAACATTATGGAGCTTATGCATGTTGGAGCATGCAATCATGCATCAAGTATAAAAAGGGCAGCTCTCTGATACAGGTCCAGAGCCAAGTCAACCAGGACATTTGCATGCTGGAGAATGGCTGTTTGTGTTTGTTCTACTTCTGAGGGTTCGTAAACTTTGTGTGAAAAATGAACTGCAGCTCATTCTTAGATCCAACAGTATGTAATGTTATCAATAAAAGTGCTCTGACTTTATTCATTTAGCATTAATAGTAAAAAGGTGGTGAAAACCTGAAAAATAACAAATATGTGAGCCATCATATCAAAATGAAGATTAAGTCAAATTAGGTCAAAATGACCTCATTTATATTTTCTGATTCCTGCTTTAAAAGCTACATTTTGACACCTGGATCATCCTGATATCATCAGCTTTTCCAGAGATATGACTTCATTTATCTCGTTGGTTATGATTATACATTACTGTTTGTTCTGAATCCTAATTTTATGTCAATTTATTGAGTAATTTTTGATCTTAATATAAAGAGGAAACCTCAAATAGTATTTGTACATTAAGATATCCCAGTTGAAAAGAAACAAAACTTTGCTAGCTCACAGGGAAAAATTAAAAATTTTATTGCGTTTTTCCTCAAAACCAGGTTTTTTTGTTGCTACTGCTCAAAAAACTGCTTCAAAAAATTTGTTTTATGATTATCTTTCAGACAGTTCATTCAAATGATACACTGATAAGGCATTAGTTCAATATGTTTTGACAAAGTGCAATTTTTGCACATTTAAATCAAAACTCTGTCTGCTTATTTCTCCACTTTTGGATTTAATCCTTGTGTCGATGTGATGGGTTACATATTTTTCCATTGGCAAAGAATAACTAGTTTTATTTCAAACATTTTGAGTTTGCACAGCTCCTCATCACATAAATGCAAACACTGAAATAACTGTACATTTATAGCAGTTCTTTAGTCTGTAAATAACTTTTTAAACTTTGCTTTTCTGAGCATGACTGAACTTTTAGAAGTGTTCCTGCACTAACCTAAGGTCCAACAAACCATCCATTCTTGCCTGTGTAATATGTCTCTGAAAGAGTTTGGACTAAATGAGTCTTTTGAATTCTGCTTTTTTCCAATGTGTATGTTTTGTGTTTTGCATGCAGATAAGGCTAAAGGCATACAGATTAACCTGTCTGAGACCTTGCAAGGTAAAATCTTTTTATCTGTACAGTTTATCAGTGTTTTAAGATGTCCCTACACCCTCATGTTTCATTCTTAATGTCTTGATTTACCAACACCCCCCCCCCCCCCCCCCCCCCACACACACACACACACTTACAACAACAACAAGAAGAACTTTAGTCATGAGAGGCTGAGGAGGTTTGGAGACGACGTTAAGGAGGAGAGGGGGACACAGTAGTTTAGTCATGTAATGAAGGAACCATGGACATTTTGTTAAGCTCATCACATGAGACACAATGGTAACCAGATGGTAATCATTATCTGTGTTTCCATTGCAAATGTGCGCAAAACTTTGTCGATATTCTGTTAATGTCGAAAAACACAGTTTCACAACTGCAGTGTTTCCATKAAGTAAGAAATGTTATTAAAGTCACGTGAATACGTTTGTTCTCATGATAAGTCATTACAAACATGGCAGCGATGGATGTAAACACATAGCATGTTGCTACCACGACACTAGCGCTCATCATCAGAGGAGACGTCGGCGTCTTTTATCGAGGCTTTCCAGAGACAAGTCCCTACTCAGATTACTTATATATAGGACAGTAAAACGTCAGTTCTGATGTTACAACCAAACAATTTTACTGGCACGTTCTGCTTAAGTTTTGGCAAATAAAGACAAAGGAAAGGATGAAAGTAAGGTTAGTGTTTCTACTACTCTTATTTTGTCAAGTGTGTAGCCAACTGGATCAGCACGTCCCTTCTGCGCTTAGGACTTCCACATGACACGTCAYCYGGAACACRTCAGTTTTTACCTGGTGATGGCTTCTTAACCAAACCCTGGGTAATCACTGCTTCACCTCCGATCAGTCAGGGAACGTTTTGATTGGCCCGCTCACTGTTCCTCGGCGAAAAGGTGTTATCTCAGGTAACTTTTTGTCTGTTTCGATCCAAACCAGAAAAATTCCAGCTGTACATCYGGTGGTTCYTTCAAAATAAAATCTCCCCTCGGGAGTTGAACACACTTGGGAGGCTCGGAGCCTCGGGTGGGACATCCGGCTGTCGTGCCGCTGTCCCGGCCATTAGATCTCCCTAATTGGTTTATGGGCAAGACCTAATGAGCCAAGCTGGCTTCTCCGGAGAGAAACTCAGCATTCCTTCCCAGTTCGGCATCCAGGAAGAAGTGTGTCTCTCAAAGACGTCCGTGTTAGTAATAGAAGCGGACGACTTTGGTTCCGCCCTCAGGCTAAAGATGAGTCAGAGAGAAGAAGAAAGATAAGAGACTTGCCAGCCAGGTGCCAGCTCAAGGCTAAAATTCTGTGATTGTCTCAACAGAATATGATAACCTCTTTTCAACTTTTCTTCTGACAGACCCTAAGAGAAATCACTGCAAAACATTTATGATGATTAATTAACATTTCTGTTTAAGTAATCAGTCTGAACCATTCTGTTAGTCCAGATAAATTAAAGATTTTCTCAAGAAAAACCCACAATTATATTGCTGTGTTCCCAGTAAAATAAAAACAGTGATTTATATAAAAACACAATGAAAACATGTTAATGATTTTCTCTGTGATTTTTATACCATTAATTAATCTTTTAGGCACGATAAAAGAGTAGAAGTGATTGCACTTTCTTGTGACAGTCATTATTACGATTTAACAAATGCATAAACATTCTTAGTTAAACAACAAATGAATCACGAACAGAAAAGATTGTTCTGTCCATTATCTGATTAAGAATTAAGAGAACTGAGGGGTTCTCTTCCATGGTTAGAATGACCTGTCATGGCCTAAATAGAGTTCAGTTTGTGACCGAGTTCCTGCCTTCTCAGTAGGCCTGTCCGAGGCCTGCTTCGAGGCAGTAAATCTTGTTTCTTCACTTGAGGTGACCCCTACATTTGCGAAATTTTAATTTGCGGTTAGCAGTGTCTGCTAGTTACTTTAGCATACAGCAGTGGAGGAAGTGAATGAAGCCAGTCTGTGTTGATAAGACTTCAAATTAAAATAAATTAGTCTGACAAAACAGCAGCTGTCATTTACAGTCGTCTCGTTCAGCTCGGTATATTTCTCCTCTCAGTAGGGTTGTTTTACAGCACACGTGATTTCTGGTTAGCTTCTTAGCTTAGCCTCCTTCACAGTGACATACGTCGCAGCCAACCAATCCAATCATTTTAAACTTCAGCAGAGGCCACGCCTCCAGGAAGAATCACTTCTCTAYAGCAGAGAGTCCAGACCCTGGTATGAAGCAAAGTGAAGGACGGTCTGGTTTTTACCAGGTAGTAAAACACTGAAGAGTCAGTTAAACTGATTTCCTTTATTTCGATCCAGGTGTTTTGGTTGAACATGTTTAACTTTCCCACCCACTGTAAACCTACTCTTTATAGGTAGATTTTACAGAAAGTCATTGCCCACCTGACTTACACAGTGGACACAAAGTATTCAGACCCCTTTTATTTTTCACTCTGTTTCATTGCAGCCATTTGCTAAAATCAAAACAGTTAATTTTATTTATCATTAATGTAACTCAGCAGTCATCTTCACAGAAAAAAACCATAGAAATATTTTCAAATTTATAAAAAAAAACAGAACTATCACATGGTCATAAGTATTCAGACCCTTTGCTCAGTGTGGAGTAGAAGCATCTGTTGAGCTGATACAGTGTGAGTCTTCATGACGCTACAAGTTTGTCTCTCCTGGATGTGCAGATCCTCTCCAGCTGCATCAGGTTGATGGTGACCGATGGTGGACAGCCATGTTCATGTCTGTCCAGAGAGGATCAGTTGAGTTTAGGTCAGGGTCATTGTGTCGATGGAAGGTGACCTTCAACTCGCTCTGAGGTTCACACCACTCTGGAAGAGGTTTACTTCCTGGATATCTTACACATATTTCAGTTTTGAATATAAATAAGTAAAATAAATATTTCTACATTATTTTTCTGTGAAGATGGCTGCTGAGTTACATTAATGAGAAATAAAATGAACTTTCTGGTTGTAGCCAATGGCTGCTGTGAAGCAAAGAGTGAAAAATGTAAGGGTCTGAATACTGGCTGTAAGGTTTTCAATGGTCACACTAACATGCAGAGTAGTTGTGTGAAAGAGCTTTTCTCCTATAAATACATTACAGAGACTCTGTTTACAGGTGACTTCTGTTAGAAAAACAAGTTGGATCAAATGTTGAATCCTCTGTAGTTTCCAGCTGGTGATGTGGTTTTTGTCTTTCAACAACACACACACACACACACATGCACAGAAACTGTTGTATCCAACACTAACCTGCTGTTGAAGCATGGATGAGCTTGGGTTGGTCCTATATGTTAAAAAGCACAGACAGGGGATTCTGATGTTATCAGTCCATGAAATGGACATTATTAGGAGTTATCAGTCCCATACAATGGCTTCAGAGGGTCCCTACTGTGCCTTCTAGGCTTCAGACTGTCCCGACAGTGCCCCCTAGTGGGTTAATATATCAATGACAATGAATGTGTAAATAACAAAAGATATTTTAATAAATTATTTGTGCCTGTGTCTGTCTTGTACCCCGGTCTCCCACTTTCTGGTCCAACACTCTACCCATTTCCCCATTGAGAGGCCACAATATATAACCGTTGGAGGGCGGGGTCTTTGGCGCTAACCATGTCATTAGCTGTAAAGTTAACCTTAGTGGCTTTAAGCCTCATATTAACCAGTTTTTTATGTCTCATATTAACCAGATAGTGGTTTTATGTCCTATATTAACCAGATAGTGGTTTTATGTCTTATATTAACCAGATAGTGGTTTTATGTCCTATATTAACCAGATAGTGGTTTTATACCTCATACTAACCAGATAGTGGTTTTATGTCTCATATTAACCAGATAGTGGTTTTATGTCTCGTACTAACCAGCTGACAATCGGAACCATTCTATGGGACGGGGAACCCACTAACCATCACAGGCGGGACCTTCTGAAGCCATTGAATGGGACTGATGACGCCTAATAATGTCCATTTCATGGATGAAAACATGCGAAGTGGGTGGCACAGATAGCACGCTGTCTGCCAGTGTTACTGTTCTTCATCAACCAGTGTTGAAACTAGTCTGCACACACACACACACACACACACACACACACACACACACACACACACACACACACACACAC